TCCTGGCCAACACTGTTAAGACTCTTAAGACCTATAGCTTGTTTGAGAAATGCTTCCCCCAAAACTTCAGGCCAATGCCAGGAAACCCAGAGCAGCTGTAACCAGCCTGTTTGCAGGAGCTGGCCATGCAGCAAGACCAGCCAGGACAAATTTATGGAGGACTGCCTCACCAAGGGCTGTTAAGCACAACAATCAGGAATGTAACATCAGCTTCGGGACATCCTTGAGCCTGTGATGGGTGATAATGGGGAGATCCTGACAGGGGATGAATCACTCTATACTTGTCCTAATTCTCACTCTTCCTCTAAACCTTCTGCAACTTGACACTGCCGGGGACAGAATGTGAGGCTGGATAAGCCACTGGTCTGACTGAATATGGCAGTTCTTCTGCCATATTCCTGCAGGTACCTCCTCCTTCTCTCACTCTTCTTGGCCATTTCCAGATGAGCATGGCCATGTGGTGCCACAGACATGTCTGCGGCACCAGATACTGCACGTTCAGTTGTTCTCCATGCTGCAAGGTAACAGCGCAGGGGTGGGGTTGACCCCTGGATATCCAGGGGCTGCCAGCCAGGCTCCAAGCAGCAGGAAGACCACTGCTGCAGCCCTAGGAGGCCTCAAGGACCCCAGGTAAGGCTGCTGGGGCCAGCCCAGTGCTGTCCCCAGCCTCCTCTACCCCACCCGGGGTAGCCTGCCATACGCCAGAGGGCGCGTGACACAGGTGTCCCCCACAGACAAATAGCACTGGCACAAGATGTCCTGCTGCTAGTTGTCCCTGGGGAACTAAATGTCTACGCTCACGTGGATGCAGCCTTTGAGGGCTTATAGGAGCTTGACTTCTGTTGACTTAGCTTCACTGTTGGAGATGCCCTCCCATGGCAGTTTCACCCTCTACAGATTGCATTATTAACCACTTTAGCCCTGATTAATATACTTGGTAAATCAAGTACTTGTCCTGTATGATACCTTTGCAGATTTAAAAGACAAGGCACCATGCTGCCAGATAGACAGCACTAGCACCAAAGGAGTTAGCTAACCCAGATGCCCTCCTGCCTGTCAAGCCCTTATGCTACAGCTGAAATGTCCACCCACGCCCCATGCAGAGGGTAAACAGGCACTAAAAGCAGCAGTGGCAGTGCCAGCTGCCTGCCACTTTGTCAGCAGGCCCGCCAGGATCCATCATCTCTAGCATTTCTTAGTGATGCTAAAAGAACCAGTGCTGTGTGAAAACTGTGATTACTGCTAGCTCCTTTCCCTCCCACCCTGCCCTTTCAACCCTCTTACAGACCCAGGGAGATCTGAACCCTAGCCTGCCTTGTTCCTTTGATCTCTAAAAGGCTGTTTGTCAGCTGTGACCCAGCCCACATGGCTCCCTTCCCCCTCCTTTCAATGCTGAGAGCCCTTCATGAATGCTAATTTGACTTCAGCTGGGTGCCTGTGCCCCTGCCCTCTGACCTCTGCTGCTGCAGACTTGCAAAGGGTCTGGCTGTCAAACCTGACAGCCCGGCTATTTCTCACCCACATGGACTTCCTCTATGCAGCTATGGCACATTTGCTGCTCTCTCTCAGTGCAGAGAGCTGAGGATTTGAGTTAGTGTAGACAAGGAAGGAGGTTACTGGCTCACAGAGGAAAATCATTAAGAAATCAAGTTCAGGGAGAAGTGTGTGTGACCTACCGGGAATCTCACCCAGTAAGAAGTGTCAGCGTGGTTTCGAATCACTCTGCTGGCTGTGGGTACTGAACCATCCCCACAGGCTCAGAAATAAACTAGCATGTCCTCCTCTCCTCCTGCTTGGCTGTATTATCCAAACACTTCACCTGTCATTCACATAGCTTTTTACCCAGGGCCCACAAACGCAGCCTGACTCCTTTCAAAGGAAGCGCCATACGCAGGGCCAGCCTGGTGTCTCCTCTGCCTAGGAAGATTTCCAGCAAACGAAGCAATAACCTGTGTCCTACACTTTAAGCTGCTGTCAATTTTTGAATATTAATAAGCAAGACAATTTTTTGGAAAGTATTACAAAGCAAGTTATTTGAGCCTTTGGTGGCAGTATTCTGGCTATGCGAGCTGCCAGGCCAAACAGGGAGAAATTCTAACTAAGGATGAGTCTCCTTCTGTTAGCCCTGGTATGAGGATGAGGCATACAAACCCTGGCCCCACCCTGTAACCTGCTTTCTTAGGGCACCTACACACGTGACAGAGTTTTGCTCTGATGCATGCTAATTACCACACCTCAGAGCCGACTGGATTAATCGAGTCTGCTGCAAGTCAGCTGGAGGGTGCTAATTAGCATGCTCCAGCAGCCTCTGCATCATGTGTATTCAGCATTTCCATGTTTCAAAATGGCAGCAGGGGCCACTTTAACTAAAGCTCATTGAAGGAGCTTTAGTTAAAGCACCCCTGCTGCCATTTTGAAATGTGGGATGCTGAATACATGTGATGCTGCAGGTGCTTTAATTAGAGCAGCTGTCAGAGTCACTCTAATTAAAGAACCACCCCCTCCACCCCATCAAGAAAGATAAGTGCAAAGTTCTGCACTTGGGACAGAATAATTGCATGCACAAATATAGAGTGGGGAATGGCTGGCCAGGCTGCAGTACATTAATTGCCTGGCATTTAGAGTGGACAGTAAGCTGAATATGAGCCAACAGTGTGCTGTTGTTGCAAAAAAAGGGAATTCTGTAAGAACAGAAGTATATTTTGCAAATCAAGGGAAATGATAGTTCCACTCTACTTGGCATAGGCGAGACTTCACCTGGAGTACTGTGACCAATTTTGGGCCCCACACTTTAAAAGTAGATGTGGACTGGTGAGAAAGAGCAGAGAACAACAAAACTGATTAGAGGTCTGGGAAGCATAACTTATCATTAGGAAAGGCTGAAAGAACTTTGATTATTTAGTCTGGAGAAGAGAAGACTGAAGGGGGATTTGATATAGTCTTCAAATACCTGAAGGGCAGTTACAGAGAGGATGGAGATAACCTTTTCTGTGTCGCTGTAAGGGATAGGACTAGAAACAATGGCCTCAGACTTCAGCAGAGGACGTTTAGGTTGGAGATTTGGTTAAGCATTGAAACACGTGACTTAAACAAGTTGTGGCACCTCCATCTTTGGAAGTTTGCAAAAGCAGGTTAGACAGATGCTTGGCTGGAATGGTTTAGTCAGGGATGATCCTGCCTTGAACAGGGGGTTGGACTAATTGACCTCATGAAGTCCTTCGCAGCCCTACTGTCTATGATGAGAAAGTTGATACAGGATTCAATGAATAAATAAATTGCAGCTCAGGAATATTATTAATGCCAGCTAGTATGTTTTTAAGAAAAAGAAGTTGTATCAAACAATGATTTAATTCTTTTATGAGATTATGAATTTGATTGGTAAGTATATTATATAGATGTAATACATTTCTATTCATGCAATGTTTTTGACTTAGTAGCTCAAGGTATTATGATTAAAAAATTAGCACTATGAAATATCAATAAAGCATGTTAAGTGTATAAAGCACTGTCTGACATCTTAAAATGCGGTTGTCAAGAGGGAATGATCACTGAACAAGGATTATTCTAATGGGGTTCCAGAAGGATCTGTGCTGGTTATTACATTGCTCCAACAGCAATCTGAAACGAAATATAAAATCCCTGCTGATAAAATTTGTGGTTGACAAAGTTCAGGCAGAAAGCAGGGAAAGGCAGGCCCTTAGAGACTACTTTAATTGGAACTGCCTAGATTAGGGAATGATAATTCATAAAGAGGACCAGACCAGTCACACAGATTGATCTCCATCACTTGGGAAACTAGGTCTATTCAAACAGACTATGTTAATACAGACAAATAAAAACGCATACATCCATACACAAGGCACGCTGGCTGCATCTCCAGAGTGGACAAGTGTCCAGGGAAGCAGCAATTCTGAAAAAAATCCAGAGGGCACTTCCACATGAGCTCCCAGCCTGACATCATGTGGCAAGAGGCCTGAAATTATTAGATGTATAAACCTGGGAGTAGCAAGCAATGGTGAGCTGTCTTGCCTGTGCAGCATTGGCGAGATGGGCACTGGGATACCCTGGGGTCTGATCACTGAAAAACTTGAAGAGGGTGGACAAAAGGGCCAAAAAAATTATTTAAGGGAATGGAAAAAAGGATTTTCAGTAAGACACATAAAGAGCTCTGCTTATTTAGGTTATCAGGGAAGACTGAGAAGTGGCCTGGTCACAGTGTTTAAGTGCAGGCAGTCCACGACTTAGGGCACAATTGGTTCCTGAAAACTGAGTCTTAAGTTGAAACACTAACTCAGAACCAATTTTCTCATAAGAAACAATGTTATAAATGGGGGATTGGTTCCTGAACCAAGGCCTGACACCTTAGTTTCACTAAAAATACCCCAGAATTTTGTACTCAACCAATTATAGATGAGTCATATAGCTACATTAATGTATTTATATTGTAAATAGCAATCATATTGACTTGGAAGGACTTCTTTGAGGGGACTTTACTGGACTTTTTGAAGGGCTCTTGGCTGGAGTCTTCTCAGGAGTCTTGCCTGGAGGTTTTTCTGGAGTCTTGTCTGCTTTATTAAAGAAAGCGTCCAAGGAAGTTTGGACAGATGTTCTCCAGGGAGATGAGAAACACAGCAAACTTGTTCACTGGCGTAGTGTCGCATCGGATCAAGCATTGTAAAGTCATAACTGATGTCATAAAGTTGAAACGGTATGAATTTATAAACTTTGTAAGTGCGAAATGTTTTGTAAGTCAAGGACTGCCTGTACTTTCTCCAGGAGAGAGCATCGGGTCCTAAGGGCTCCTCACTGTAGTAGAAAAACACAAAACAAGGACCAGGGATTGGAAGCTGAAGCCAGGCACAATTAAAGTTGAAAACAAGGCAGGATTTTTTTCCAGTGTGAGGGTGATTGACTACTGCAGGAACAAAATCCCAGGGGAGGGGAGTGGCTCTAGTTATTCATGATTTCAACTCCAGACTTGTTTGGGTTTTTTTTTTTTCTCCAGTCAAATTGTAGTTATTATGCTTAATACCAGCCTGTGCCAGGGAAGTCAGACTGAATATGATGGGCTCTTGCAGCCACAAATGTTGCTGCTACTATGCTCTACGCATAAGCATAATCACAAGGGCAAAAACCCTTTGCTGTCTATTGCCCCATTCTCCCTTGGATCCCACTTCATACTGCAGGTTGCTCCGCCATAGCCTCACTGGCCTTACAGCAGCCTCAAAACCTAGTCCTGTCCTTAAAGCAGGCACCGGGACTTGAAGACTTAACTTTGAGTGCTGGCTCTGCCACCAACTCCGCTATGCTGTGTGAGCATGGGTGTTACTCCCTTCTCTGTGCTGCTTCCCTTCCCTGCAATGCAGGGCTGCTGATGCCAGCAGAAAGGATGGGCCAGTGAGCACGGTACAGGCTTGCAACTCTGGTTCAGATCTCCACTCAGATCCCAACCTTGGAGCAGCTCCCACCCAGCTGTGCACCCTGCCAGCACTGCTGGGGCCATCTTCCTGGAAACCCTGGTCCTGTGCTGTCATGACACTGCTGCTACTGGGGTTTCCATGGAAACTGGCTGCAGCGACATGGACAGGTGCTGCTGGGAAATGGAGTCCACTGTGGGTCTGATCCAGCCCGTGGGCTGGACTTTGCTTGCCCCTGCTTTAGTCCCTGACCCAGCCTCCTGCACTTGAGTGAAGCCCTTGTCCCAGTCGAGGCAGGTGTGTAGGAGCCAAAAAGTCAGTGACTATTTCCATTTGCAGGCAGGAATAAAAGGAATAGGGACCAATGTCTGCTACATTTACATAAAAGAAACAAAGCCAAGCTCTGCCCATTGTGCGCTGATGTTGTTTATTAGGTTCCTGTAGCCTTCTGACACAGCTGGGCCCAGAAAATGGAACAGGTTATTCCTTAAAGTGTCTATTTGACAGAGTCCGGGTTAAGACTGTAGTCAGAGGCATTAGAAAAGGCAGTATTAGAAGCAATGAGAAGTGGTGTAGCAGGCCTTTTACAGCATGGTGAGTGGGGAGGGGAACTCCAGCCTTCCTGCTGTTGCAGTAGAGACTAGGCACAAGTTTGCTTTCTGTTTATTCAAGCCAGACACACACAGGCACCATGCAACATGACCTGGGCAGGAAATGGTTGGAGAACCGGATTTGGATAGTTACTGCAGTTTGCCTTATCAGAAGCTGGGCATCTGGTGGGTACAGCTGCTCCTAGCTGGGAACAGTCTGGTTACTAGCCTGGTAATCGGTGCAATGACACTCCTGCATAGCACCTGCTTGTTCAAGGGAACCAAAATTTACAGGATACAGTTACCAAAAACTGCTCTTTCCTACCCACCCTTATATCACCATTATTGACAGAGTATTGTGTTTTGATATGACAAGCAATCTGTGTCCTCTGCCAGGGGCTGACTATTCTGATGTCCCACTGTGTTAAAGATACCCCAGAGAACCTTCCTTTCCAAGCACTTTGAGCAAGGCCACCTCCACCCCCCTTTCAGTGGTGACCCTGCCAAAGCCAGTCACCTTTTAGTGGGTGCTCTGCTAGTTTGGGCCAATGCTGACTTACCTGATGCTTGTCCTCCTAAAAGGGTAATTGGAATATTTTCTTTCCCTCCTAAATCACATACGGCCACTGGCAGTACCACCTACTTCCCAACCCTCCTTTCCGAGTGCCTCAACCTCTCTCCCCAATGTGCATGACAGAATATGCACATGCACACTAGTGTGTACATCTGTAGCTACAGACACATGGAGGAGGGGCTATGTGTATAGAAGAGAGGCACACACAGACTCATGCCCCTCATTGTTTTTTTTGCTTTGCCTAAAATCACATACTTTCCAGCACCTGAATATTCTTTTGCCAGTGGCTCCTTTACCCCTAGCAATCAGCACAGCAACAGCTGATCCAGAAGTCTCCATGGTGGGGGTGTGACAGATGCACCCTGGTTTGCAATGAGGGCCTTTTATCTGACCTAGAGATGAAAGGAAAGGCTTTGGAGAGGCAGGTTGGCTTGAGATGCCAGCACCATGCCCTAGTCTAGGCCAGTTACTGTACAAAATGAACAAACACACACATTATTTACAGCCCATTTTTCACATAATGGAGCAGCTTTTGGCTCGGTCTTTCCTGATCTCTGTGTCATTCAACAAGTCTGTCCTGCCGGGCATCTGAGAGACCCGCTTCAGTCCCCGCTTGGAGTTGCTGCGCTTCAGGTTCTTGTGCATCCTGTTGACCGAAGCCAGCGTGGTCACATGGAAAACATCACGCACGCTGTTCTCTGAGACCTTGGAGGAGCACTCGACGTAAGCCACTGCCCCGATCTGCCGCGCCAACATGCTGCCCTGGGAGCCAGGGAAGGGAGGGGAGGAAGGAGAGAGGTGTTAAAATGTCAGCAGTCTGATTAGGGCATCCTCTCGCATCACATTAACCTCTGCCTGTGCTGGAAATGGAGCTCAGTCAGTGCAGCACAGTGGGGTGCTGTGCACACATGATGTTTATTTATCACCTCTTCAAACGAAAGTGAGAGCGCAAGAGTCAGATGCTAGCATGGCCGCTGGGGAAGACAGCACTGCCAGGTGCCAAAAAATGCTGATGCCAGGTGCCTGTTTGCTGCTCTCTCAGATGCAGGCAGAATGAGACTAATGAAAGGGAAGCAGGGCTCTTTCCAGGGATGCAGGGGGAAATGCATCTCTTTTCTCATCCCTCGCCTGTCCTTTCCCACACCAAAAGCTTGCCAGTCATTACAACTGTGAACCTCTGAGCACAGTGCAGCCTCTTCTACCTGGAGTTACAAATGTACAGAGGTTAGACAAACGTTCCTGCTCCATGTACTAGAGCTGTGCACTTCATGGAGCTTGCACCGAGGCAGTGTGTGAACAGACCCCACAGCACCACGTCCACCCTTTATCCAGCAATGCAGGCTCAACTGCTCGCACTGCAGGGACAAAACTGCTCATCCATGGGCTGGCCTGCTCTCACAGCAGAAGTCAGAGGCCCTCAGACTTCAGGGGACTGGGAAAAAGGACCATCACTGCTAACCGTGTTTGAGGAACAGGGCATCTAAAACTACAGAGGAAGGTGGAGTCGGGAGAAAAGAGACAACACTCCCAGCCACTGCCCGTTCCTCACAGGTTTCAGTCTCTTTGTCCCCAGCTACCAACTCCAGGAAGAACATTCACTCCCATGGCAGAACCATGCCCCTCTCCCTGCCCACTTATCCTGGCTGCCTGTAGGGCTGCCCACCCAAGAGATCTGTTCTTGTGCTCACATGTCATCACTGCTAGGGACCACCATTCCAGCAGCTCATAGAAACTGGGTCCAAGAGCAGGTCTTGCTGTGCAGCGAAAGCACACAGCACCTGGGTCTGACAAATAACAGGATTGTCACCTCTACCGCAGAGGTAAGGAACCAAGGCCCAGAGAGATTTGGCAACTTGCCCAACGTCATTTGAAGAGCCAGTGGCAGACAGGCACTGACCCCAGCAATCCCATGTCCCAGGCAAGCTCATTGCTCCTGACAGGCCTAGGGCAGAGGGCACCCGTTCTTAATGGTGTGTATAGAGACCCAGAGACCACACTGCCGTAGCGTCAGGCAACCAGACATCTGTTCCTTCACATGTAAAAGCCCTGGCACAAGAAAAGGCTCTGGGGGGCTCCAATTGTCATAGGAAACTCATGCGACTGACACCCTGGTGCAATTATCCTCCTTTGCTCAAGCAATATATCCTCTGAGCAGGCAACTGGCAACAGAACATGTGAACCATAGCAATACTCCTCTTCCCTGTAAGCTGATGCTGCAGTGCTACAAACAGGGAACACATGTCAGCATACAGGGAGTAGGGACAGCCTGGTAGCACCACCAGGGATCCCAGAAGGGTGGCCACGACTCAGAAACAGCTGCTGTCAATACACACCACATCCCAGCATGAAGGAATGAAGCCTACAGTGGAGTGCAAGTGCCAAGCCCCAAGGTCTCAAGTCCAGGCTATGTAGAGAATTGTACCAGCTTAATAAACAGGCAGGACTTTAAACCATGCAAGGCAGAGAAAGACAAGCTCCTGTGTGGACACATTAAGTTCACTTCCAACCAAGCCAATTTCAGGTTAGTCTGAGTCATTTAGGAACTGGTCTGAGATGAACTGAAAGGAGTTGCTGTTGTACAGAAATGCACATCCCTTGGTTTAAACAGCATCACTTAAAACCAAATAGAGTAAAAATTGATTTAAGAGTTTTCAAATGAGGCTTGGCATTTTACTGGCCCCTTTACAGGCATCAACTGCACTGTTGGGGCTTTCATCCCAATGCAGCCACTGAGCCTGGCTGGTTTGACTGTCCCCTCTCAGTGACAGTGCCACAGCTCCCATTCTGAGCCCATTCACAGGCCCCTGCATCTCACAGAACAGACAGCAGCAACCTGGAGAGGGAATTAGGGTTTGTGCATCAGCATCACAAGGCAAGGCTACTTCCTTTCACAGCTGAGATTCCTGCAGGCCCTGGGGTGATGTGCTATGCCTAGGGCATGGACTTATTGGGCGCCTATACATGTGCAGTAAGGCTGCTCTGATGTGCTGTAATTACAGTACATTGGAGCAGACTGGATTACTTAAGTCTGCTAGAGTGTGGCAAATTACTGCTCTCCAGCAGACTCCAGTGTCCGTACACTGAAAAATGGCAGTGAGGGCACTTTATTTAAAGCTTGCTGGATGAACTATAGTTAAAGCACCCCCACTGCCATTTTTCAGTGTGGGGACACCAATACATGTGATGCGTTGGGTGCTTTAATAAGAACGGCTCTCGGAGACACTCCAATTAAGTGTCCCCCTACTCTTCCCCCACTCCAACTCCCAATGCACATATATAAAACACCCATTGGGGGGCTGATGGCACAATAGACCCGAGGGCAAGTCTTGTGCACTTCAGCACCTGCCAGCCTGCCTCCAGTAGCTGGAAGAAAAGAGTGAATCCTAGCCCTGGTCCTCCTGGATCTTGTGCATAGGTTGCTCCATGCCAAGGTCTTTTGCTCATGCTCAGAAACCCCCAAAGCCTGGCAATGCTCCAACAGTGGCCTTCAACCTGATGGCTCTGCACCCATCAACAGAAGCATGTGCCTGCAGCTGTCACTCCCTTGAGGCTGCTGCAGCCAAGCCAACTGAGGCCTCCCCAATGCCAGCTGCATCTGGGGAGCTGACGGAGGCCTCAAGACCTGGAGAAAGCCTTTCCTGCCCTAGCAGCAGCTCACCCTGGAAGTTCCCTCCCCACACCAAGCCCTTCCCCACTCCCCACCCTCCTGCTTCACATGCGAGATCAAGCAGCTCCATCCTCTTCTAGGAAGGTAATTTTAGCTGCTAGCTGTGAACTAGGAAGTGACACCTGCACACAGCAGCAGTAGCAGCTCTGGGAGAGGCCCATGCAGTGAATATTCAGTGAGTGCTAAGAATATGCCAAGCTCTCCGAGGGCACAGAGGAGTGCATCCATGAGTGAGAGCCACCTGCTTGCTCCAAATCTGTCCTGTGGGCCAAGGCCAAACCAGTCTTCAGATAAGGAGGGGAGCAATAAAGGGTCATTTCCAGCCCAGGGCTTGGGAGCCGAGCCAGCTGCCTTTGAGCAGCCCAACTTCCTCACTGGTGGGGTTTGAAGCAAACACACTGACCCTCCTTCCCCCTCTCTGCTCCCTCCCACAAATCGCAAGACGAAACTGAGATTCACTCCCATGACATGGGATTCACCTGCTCATGTGTGACAGGGATGAGGCGCTGCTTGGAGAGCTCCCGCAGGGTGTTCAGATCTGTCCGCATGTCCAGCTTGCAGCCGACCAGCACAATCTTCGCATTGGGGCAGAACTCCTGGGTCTCCCCTTGCCACTGCGGGAAAGAGTACAATAGGCAGGGGCTCAGCAGCAGCTTATATCACCCTCATCAAGGGCAGCTAAATGCTCCACCCTCCCCTTGTGACAAGGGTGGAGCAGGGAACATCCCCAAGTCAGCAAGAGGCATTTGCAGAATCTCAACCTTTGGGTCCAGCCCCTTCCAGGCCAGACAAACACCCAACACAGGGATCAGTCACAGAGGCAGTCAGGGCTACAGAATGAGTGTGCTCCTTCATAGTGCACAGCACCTGCCAGCTCTGCTGCTCTCTCAGAGCCAGCCACAGAACCCAGTCTCCCGTATTGCACCATACCCAGCTCCAGCCTCAGCCCCACTACTCTTGCAGAGCTCTCGTAGTTCCCCCACCCTAATCCGTTAGACTCCACTGCCCTCCCACAGCCAAGCACAGAACCTGGGAGTTCTGGCTCCCAGCCTCTCCCACCCCGTCTGCTCCAACTACCATAACAGTCCATGCCAAGAGGTTTTGCAGCATAACTTGCATCCCAGGGCAGGGTCAGCACAGACAGCAGCTGGTGTGGAGCTTTGGGAACCGGCTGTTTCGTCTTCTTTTATAAAAGAAGAGACTCTCCAGGGCTCCATATTGGGCATCACAATCCACAGGGATGGAGCGCTGCTTTCAGCTGGCTGTCCAGCTTCTCTTCATTCCTTTTCATTCTTCATCTTGGCAAAATTTCCCTCAGGGCCCTGAGCAAACAGTTCTCTCCGAGTGCCTCACCTCTGCCAGGACTGTCAGCTGCATACTCTGTGTCAGTACCAGAGGGACACAGTCTCCTTCAACAGTGCTGTGCTCCCATGGAAGGGCCCAGACTCCTGCAGGTTGCACATCAAGGTGCCATGCCACTTGCCAATCCACCTGCAAAATGCTGTTGGGAGTTCAGAAGCTTGCATACCCAGCCATCTGTGCTGACTAGTGCTCCTACCAGCACCAGTCCCACTCAGTCCCCATACTCTGAAGACAACGTGGAACAGCGGCCAGGCCCATGGCTGACTTGTGTGTGGCAGGTAGGAAAGGGAGAGAAGGGTAAAAGCAGCCTCACACCCTCCTTGCTGCCCTACAAGAGCCAGCACCCTCCAGCCCAAAGCAATCTCAGTCCCATGTCCAGACCTAACCCCAGGGAGAGAATGGTCAGAGGCACTGAGGGTTAGTCCCCCAGGCTGACTGGTAAGGTCACTGTTGGGCCAGAGGGTTACCAAACATGGGCCTGGGCAGTGCTCACCAGCACACAATAGCTTTAGGCCCTCCTGAAGCAGTCACTGACAATCACGTTCAGAAACAGGCTCTGCTGCTCTTTTACCATTAGCCGCCTCAAGAGTGGCCAAGCCAGCATGACCCTGGCTGATCTCACCCTGAGAATCCAGCTTTTCCACCCACAGAAGCTGGGCCCAACATCACTGGACCAACTGCAGTTTCCACCTGCAAATCAGTGCTGGGGAAGGTCTGCCTGGATGTTTAATTTGGAATTGGGCTACCAGATCCTGAGGCAGCTGGCACAGCTCTCATCCTGCCCAGGGGCAGAGCCCAGCACCCCCAGTTCTCCAGAGGGAGGAAGCAACAGGAATCTAAGTGACAAGTGGTCAGAGCCCCAAGATAAGAGAGTCAGGAAGATTTCATCTGGACTGGCTGAAGCTGTGTGGGCCAGAGCAGACCCTCTTCCTCACTTTGTGTTACAGCCCCCCCACCTATGTACACCCAACAAGCAGCTCAGCACAGGGAGACACAGGGACAGGTGGCTTTGACCTCTGAACATACAGAAGCCCCCAGGGGGAGACGCCTGGGAGAGCAGGTGTTAGAGGCCAAGATACCCACACTAGAGAGGGTGCATCTTCTCTCTGCAGGGCAACAGGTGTCTGAAAGGTAGCTAGCTTACCAGAGCACTTTATTGTTACAGGCAGTGGCAAGAATCATCATGTCCAAGAAGAGGAAGCTTCCCATTTGCCTGTTCCAGATCCGCCTTCCACACCTGCTAAGCCTAAGCTGCCAAATCTCCCACTCGGGGCCCTGTTTTGGGCTTCACTATAGAAAAACAGCCTAGTGTGCAGATCTGAGTCTTCAAAAGGCTGTCTAAGTTGAGCCCTTTTGGCTATAGTGAGCTGCAGTCCCTGCGCAGTAGAGAAAGGGGCCTGATTCTGCCCCAGAGTTTGCTTTAGATGCAAGGCAGAGACATGTGCTGCCAATCTTGCCAGGATGAAGGCATCACCCCATGAAAGCCAAGTTTGTATCAACTGGAAAGCTGTTTGTTTGGATTCTCTCAGGTGGCTCCTTCCCCCTCACTGCTACGTGCTGTTTATATAAACTATGATTCTATGAATCAAAAGCCAGTTTTGATTTTGCATCCTAGGCATCAGACAGGCAACAATAATAAAGACTCCCTCTGCTGAATTAGCATCTTGGCCCACGGCTGGAACAGGCAGCTTTATTCTCCTTCTTCATTTGATATCAAAAGCTAAACCCCATTTCCACTTCACTGTGCCTTAGGAATTTTCCTCACCTCTGGCAGCTATAAACCTGTGCCAAAAGTAGTGAGGCAGCTACTCAGAGGTACTTAAGAAATCCCTTGTGATTTAGGGTTTATTTTAAGTCACCATATCAAAAAGCCATTGCCTAATAGTATTTGAAGCATCTGGGAAGGCTGCACAGGGAAAAACTTACGCTTAGCAGTGCAAATTCTCATATACAGAATGTCTGCGGAAACGCACACAGATAAGTCCCACTTCTCACTAATTATGGGTGGTTTGCTGCTCATTAAGGCGCAAACAGTTTGCTCATATGGTTGTTCTGCAGAATCCAAAGCTGTGCAATGGCCACACAGTCTGCCACTCTCACCAGCCAGAGCCAAATGCAGGGAGCAACTTGGATTCCATCACTACAACACTGACTGCAGGTCTGAAGGGGTCTTTGTCCCCCAAACCAGGGCATCCCAGCCCTAGCCTAACTTCCCAACACACCCTCCAAGCAGGATGCACTAAAATAAGAGGTATCTAGTTCAGCTAAGCAGTTGGTAAAGTTTGGGCAGGGGTGCAGGGTCAGGAACTACAGTGTGACTTATTCAGAGGCAGAACCTGACCCAGTCCTACAACCTGGGCTGACTGGCAAGGGCAACAACAGCAACCGTTTAGGTCAGGGTTGTCCAATTTCAGAGGATCACTAGGACACATACCATATGGTCATGCCACCCCCCCCGCCAGAGACCGGGGCAAGAAATGGAAGCTAGGAGGGAGGGGGTGGTGGTGATCACAGCAGCAGCAGGGGACCGGCATCTGGACAGGAGCCTGTGGGCTGCGAGTTACTCACTTACGGCTTCATGTAGCCCATCAGCCACCAGCTCAAGAGCCCTGGCTTAGGGCTGTCATACCTTTCACCCCCCAGACTCCCAAAGCACTCTGCCAAACAAACAGATCTGAGCCAGCTCACCCCATCTCCCCACCCCAATACAATCCAGCAGCTATTTACCAATACCCCACAGTGGTGAGAACTCATCAGCAGGTGCAGGAGGAGCTTCAGCAGGTTGCACACATTTGTCAGAGCACTGGAGTTATCCAAGACACCCTGGGGTTGTCAGGGACCGTAAATAATCAGGAGATGGATTTCACAGCCCACCAGAAAGGAGGCAGCTCCAGCAGCATGATACCCAGAAGCAGCATTCAGGGTTGCTGGGGTCAGTGCCGCCTATGAAAAGGACTTCAGCATCCTCCCTTCTGCACTGTGGATTCTCCTAGGTAGTCTTCCACCTTCATGCTGCTCAGCACTGTCAAACCAATTGGGATGCTAGCCTGAGGCACCACATCCCAGGCTGGAACACCCACCAGCTATGCAGAATAGCTTTGCTGTGAGGTACTGAATTGCACTTCAAGCAATTTGCAGCCAAGCAAAGGCCTGACTAGTGAGCTTAGATGTACATTCTCAAAGGGCCAGCAGCAGAATCTGAGCCCCAAGGCACTGACTTGTGACCTCTGCCTCCTGGCTTGGGATGATGCTAATGCAGACAGGCCTGAAACCCAATGTCACCTTTAATGGTCTCTGTCGTCAGCCTGCAGTGAGCAAACCATTGCCCTCTCCACAACACCAACATGAAAACGAGGGGGGACAGAGCCAACTGACCAACACTCCCCTACAAGGAACAGGTGCCAGGAGCCACTTCCCAACTCTTCTGCAAGCATATCTGTGGTAGCTGGTTACTGGTCATGCTAATGGGAGCTCCAAGCACAGTGCTTTCCAAGGCCATCACTAAAAGACTGCCTCACACAGACCCACATCCATACTCACACCTCAGTGAAATGCACTATTCACAAAGGCTTCCATTGTGAAAAGGTCTCCCTTTCTGCTACAGTCCAGGGACAAGCTGGCTGCAGCAAATCCTTTCATTCAGTCACACAGGCTCTGGTAACTGTCCTGCCTCTCTCCCCACCCATGTTCTTATCCTGCAGTCCTCATCATGGTATGTGGGTGCCTCTGGGTTGGGAACCTGTCCCTCAGGAAGTCACAGTCCTGTCACTCTAGGATGTGGGGGAACAGACACTAGACTGACAGCTTGAAGAGCTGGGCCCTGTTCCTAGCCTGCTGGGTGACCTTTCTGGACTGCTGCTACAGGGCAAAGAGGAGCCTGTTAGAACCTAGGGCTCCAACCACTGGATGCCGCCAAGAGCCCGTGCACAAATCCAGCTTTGCCCGGGTGGAGTCAGGAAATACAAAGCAAACTGCTGGCAGCCTGGCCCTGGGGAGCAGAGACCCAATCACCTTCAGGAGTGATGGCAGCTTGAAGGAATGTAGCATGGAGGGGGTAGTTGCCAAACTTTTAAATTCCCCACAGGCCCAGTGTTGACTTGGCCCCATGTGGATGTCGGACAGCTGCCTCAAAAAGGTGGAGGGGGAGAGAGGCCACTACCCAGAGATACCATGAGAAAAGCTGCCCCTGCCCGCCTATAACACACGCTGCCCAAGCTCATACCAGAGGACCCCCACTGCCTCATAATAGGTTTCTTTCAAGTTTTTTTTCCATCATAACCCTTACTCACTGCCTCACAGCAGGGGCTACCCCTCCCAGAGGGCTCAGGTATCAGGGAGAAGAGATCCTTTTACAGCTGAGGGAAAACAGAGGTGCCCACGGATATTTGGCGTGACCCCAGCAAGCAGAAAGGTGGGCAGTGCTCTGGGTTTATACCAGACCACAGCCAAGGCTGATGTGGATCCAGAGCCAAAGGTTTGCCAGTGCTGAATGCCTTACCACAAATCGTGGCCTACTGCATCATCATAAGGTAGCAGTCCCTAGGGGAGCAGCAAGCCCCTGGGGTCAGCCATTGCAGACTGCAGCAGAGAAGCCCCACATCACTGGTTAGTGAACACAAGTGCATGCCAGACACAGACCTTCTTGAGCACACTGTCCAGGGTCTCTGGGCGACTGATGTCAAAGCAGATGAGCACAGCATCCGAATCAGGGTAGGCCAAGGGGCGGACGTTGTCATAGTAGGCAGAGCCTGCAAAAAAGGTAGGAGGACAGCCATCAGCAGAGGGTTGGAAAGACACCCAGTGATGCCAAAATGAGGCTGGCAAGGTGTTTCTGGCCTGGGGCAAAGCCCGTAGCCTGTTAGCTCTATCAGATGCCCATAGGAACTGGAAATGGCATCACTGTGATATAGGTCTAGTTAGAAATTGAGAGCAGCAGCTCCACAGTCTAGCACCCAACCAGTGTCACATTCACCCCACCCTGTCTCTGGAGGACCAGCTGGATTTCACCCTCAAAATAACCTGTGCTGCTAAACCTGCTCTTTGCGCTCCTGGTTTGCCCCTCCCCAGCAAGACCTGGGGTATGCTGAAGGAAGAGTCAATGATCTTTACTGCACACAGAGCCTTCAATCCTTCCTGGGTTTCAGAAGCAGGGTGAGGGGTGCTATACAGAGGCTCTGCTTGCAGAGCTGTGCCTGCATCTGTAGCTTAAGACCTGGAGGCACAAGCTAATGAAGCTCCATATGCCCCTAAAAATCACAGCAAGCTCTGCAAAGATGTTCATTTACAGACACCAGGATCACATGCTGATCTGGCAGCCCCCCACCCTCCTTTTAGCAAGTCTGCCACTCCCAAATGAACTCTCCACAGTCCTGCTCAGCAGAGCTCATACACAGCACCCCCAGGTCCCAAACCAGCCAAAAGTAAGGGGTGCATAGAGAAACAGACGCTCTTGTACCACTCCAAGCTTTCCTAGAGCTCTGCCAGAGCCCAGTGTCTTGCACCCCCATCACCATCCCTCATGCTTCTGCATCAGAGAGAGAACTCCCCAGGGCTGAGCAGCTGTACACAGCACAAGCAAATCTACTTTCCTGAAGATCTCTGGATGCCATCATTCATGCGCCGGTGCTAGCTCCCTGGGGCAGCATGTACACAGGTACACACAAGATAAATACCTACCACATACCAGCCCCCAACCGGAAGAGATGACAGGCTAGCCCAAAAATCTCTTTCTCCAGTCATGCGTGAAAGGAGATATACAGGGAGTTCCAGCCACTGAGCTGTGGGATAGACCTAGAGACAGCAGTAGCAGGAACAGAAGCAATGCTACAGGGAAGGAGCTGAAACTATACTAGGAGATCCCCTCCAGCAGTGCCTCAGAGCCACCCGTAACAGCCTAAAGCAGACACACACACCCACTTTAGCCCAGGATGAGGGAACTTAGGGGCCAAGCTCTCTGGCGGCGATGCTCTATTGAAGCCAACGGAGTTATTGCCTCCGAAAATTTGTCCCACTGGACTTAGGTGTGGAAGTCAAAAGCTTTGGTCGTGATGTCCTTAGATTTAACCCCAAACTTCTTTCAGTGAAGGAAAACTGGGCAAACTTGTGCTCCTTCCTCCCTGGCAAGTATCTGGCAACAAGAGGGAAGGATGCTGTGCTCTTGGGGCATGCTAGCCCAACAGGGTGAGGAGGTGCCTGGAGTGCCTGTGAGTAAGCCACAGTGACTCAAACGTTCAAAAGTGTCCCCAGTTATTTGTCAAGCAATTACTGTTGCGCTAATGGCTGGAAGGCACAGCCAAGAGAAGATGGGGAGTGGGAGACAGAAGCTGCACTGGCTGCTTTAGCTGCGTGGGCTTTAAATGCAGTGTACAAACACTCTCACTGATGTGACACCTCAGCTAGACCCAAATAGCTGTAACACTTGCACACATACCTCTCCTCTCATGTGGTGAAGCTGGCCCTTAAGGGGTGAGAGAAGTTAAGACCTGGGGGGTGAAGGGAGGGAGAAAAAAAAAAAAATGCCCTGTGCTCTGGATTTATGCTGGAAAAAAGTCAGATCTCCATTTTTTTTGGACATAAAAGATGTGTCAGCATTCAGAGAACAAGTCATAAATTAGAGGGGTATGATTCTGTATTCTCTGATTTCTCCATGAGCTGGCACAATGCCCACAGTCTGAATCCTGCACTGTTATGAGCACACACTACCTTTAATGCAAATCTCAGGCATTAAAGTCACTGTCCCATAATGTTTTTATATGAAGCGCATTGTGTGTGTGATTGTAAATGCCTCAGTAAACAGTAATGGAGCAATCAGCTTACTGCTACTTAAAAACACTGTTTCAGTTTTATATTTGGCGTTATGATGGCTTAAACTTCCTGGAGGGATGAGAAACAGATGTTTATTTATGAAAGGGGGAAGCAGAGACACTACAGCCCTTGTTCAGTTCACATATTTTTTGCCTTTTTGACCAAAAGAATCGCCTATCCCGGGGGTGAGGAAATAGGACGTGCTTCCTGGTGATGGCCCCTTGGGAATGCTCTGGGCCAGTGCTTTCCCACCCTGCCGGAGGGAGCCAGAGCACCCAGCCCTGCTGTCAAATGGCTCCTTGATAGGGCTGAGTGCCTAATGAATTATGGATGATGACAGTTTACATTTCCGGAAGGGCAAGGATCTGCTTTAACAGTGCATGCAAGGAGAATGGGTTAATTCTCTGCAGGGGTTTCTGTCAGGGGAATCCTTGTTCGCTTCCTATGCCAGCAGCTAAGAGACTAAATCTGCAATACAGGGCTAGAATGCAGGCCTCTGGGCAGCCCTGCCAGTGCATCATGCCAATAGCATGCAAGGCACTTGACAGACAAAGGAGGCAAGGTCCCTGCATCAACCTGTTTCCAACTGAAACACCCCTCTTCGCAATGGAGAGGGGCTAAAATGAGACCAAAGCAGCAGGAATGATCCCACTGGCAGAGCCTGCATCTCCTTGGAGCCCAAACCTGACCAAAATCTTCTGATTCCTGAAAGCCATTCCTTGCATCAGCACCAGAGGGAGGACATCCTCTCCCCTGTCCCAGATGGAGGACTGCAAGACAAGACAGGCAGCCTACTGGTGCCATCACAACTCTAAAGATGCCCAGAGGGGAATAAAGGAACCCCGGCCAGGGACGCATCCCTTCCAACTACAGAGAACAGGGCCCTGCCTCAGCACCGACACTGATGTGACCCCAAAGGAGCTGTACATGGAGGCCATCTGCTTGTAGGTGGTCCTTGGTATGATAGAGCTTCTCGTGAGGCCATGGGCTGCATGTCAGAAATCCAGAGCCTAGAGAAGCTGGCAGGTCCAGGGTCCAAGAGTACAGTTTCTCAAGCTACCATGTCAGCAAGAGCCAGAAAAATGGGCAAGGAGCCAGGTGGGTACTGCAGCCCATCTTAGGTGTCCTGCCCTAGGCAGGTCTGCAAACCCAGTACTAAATTGGGCCCCCTTATGCTCTGCCTTAAGCAAACAATGAGGGTGCGACTATTAAAGGCTAAGAAGGGCCTACATTACATGCCACACCCAAAAAATCCCTACAAGAATCTAATGGGGACACTGAGCGCTAAACCCTCTTTCACCTTCACCTGCTTAAGTGGTATTTACATCCCTGGGTAGCTGCAGTTTTTGGCCCTTGCATGGTTTGCATTTCTGTCTGCATTAGTATAGATCTGTTTGCTCTATGCCTCCCTTCTGCATGTGCTCAGTCATCTGCACTCTAGCCACATAAGCTCCAGGGTGGAACAGGATCACCTGGATGCACATGAAGGTAACAGTAGATACATCCCAAAATATTAGTCACAGAAGACCCACAAGCTTGCAGGGGGGAGGGAGGGAACCTCCCACTATCTGGTGATTACATTTACCCAAGAAGGAGACCTGGGTTCTAGTTTCACTTCACCCAGAGAGGGTTTTTGACCTGCCTCTCTCCGACTTCCCAGAACAGCCACAGGCTGTGCATTACCCAGAGCACCCTCCAGCCTTCTCTTGAAGCTCACCCATTAGGCACCCAGAAAAAGGAAGATATGTGGGGCTAGGAAGAAGCAAATAAACCAAAAAGAACATGTTTCAGTGAGATAGTCCTAGCCAATGGGAAAGAAACTTCTCTTCCGAAGGGGCAGCCATCACAGTACTCATTATCCAATGAATATTAAATACAAACAGCTAACAATCTTTTGGAGACAGGCCAGAACCCAAGGCCCCTGCCTTTCCAGAGTAGACATCTTGCTGCCTTGACTGTCTCCCCCTGACAACACACAGACTTCCCCACTGGGCAGCCAGGAGGCCCAACTTCAATGGCAGCCTGGAGGGTGCTCTGGGCAGTACCCAGGCTACAGCACTTTGCTGAAAGGAGTAAGAAATGCAAGTTGAAATGCTCTGTGCATGAGAAGGGCCTAGAATGTGGGTCTACTGCTCTTTGGGCCAATGCCCTAATCACTTACCTACTGGGCTAAAACAGGAAATGATCCTCTTCAGTTTTATTCCTGGCAGTTTTGCATGCCCCCATGTGATCCTATTCCGCCACAGAGAAATAGAATCTGAACTGTGTACCTGCAGTTTTTGGCACTTACCCAGCTATACAAATGCCATTTAGGCACCTGTAGGTAAAGCCCTTAATACATCTCCCCTACAGTGAGGCCTGGCAAAGAAAAGACATGGGGAGGTGAGGAGGGGACAGTGGAAAGGAACCAGTCCCCACCACTCTCACAGCACTTGCTTTAGTCTCAGACACCATCCATTCTCTAGACACACAAAAACTTGAGGGGGCTCTGCTTCTAGGAGCCCAACTCCGCATGATGTGACCCCCATTTTCAGAAGCACTGAGCACCCGTAAATCTGCTGTGGTCACTATGATATGCCAGAAATCAGGTTCAGTTTGGCTCAGCAAAGTCCCTTGCTCAAGGAGGGATGCTACTGCCAGTCTCCTGGAGATGGAGCTCCCCGATGGTTCCATCAGCTCTCACCAACAGTCACCAGGGACGCTAGTCCCTGTATAGACAACCTCCCAATTAACCAGGCAAGCCAGGAGGAGAAGCAACCAGAACCCAGAGCAGAAGGAAGTTGCCCAAATCCTCCCCACAGCCACAAACCCCAATGTCCCACCAGGCATCCTTGGGGCAGGAGCTGGCTGGGTCAAGTCACCCACTACTCACAGAAAGCAGCCATTTCCTGCATCAGCAATGGGTTCCTTGGGGCAGGAGGCGGCGGCAGCCTGGCACATTAGGAAATCAGCTTAAACCTCACGATCACTGCCACAAAGATCGGGAAAGTCCTGGTCTGGCTTTGGGCTGAAACTGCTTTTGTACAAGTGGCAGACTTGGCATCAGCAACACCTCCCACCCCCATGGCACAGTGAGGTGACCCAGTTCCCAC